GTGGAATGGCAATGAACTTGTTGGTCGGAATGGCATTTGCGACTACGAGCTCCCGTGGGGGCATGAGATGGCCAACCCTGACCGGTCCGGCGCAGAAGCTCGCATTTTGGGCACTGTAAAGAGGTTGTCGCGATGCAAACACATTTCGGACGAATTTGTTTGTTTGTGTGGTGTCAGGTCCTACATCTTCGAGATGCCCAGCTACGTGGACGAGTTCTGGGACAAGATCTATGAGGTCATTGACGAACTTGGTATTCCTAGATTTGAGCCAAGCAATCTTGTATTTCAGTCAGACCGCGTTGATCGTTGGCATCTCAGGAGGACACAGGAAAATGTTGACAAATTTGTGAATTATGTTGTATCTACAGTCAATTTGTTCATTGTGCCGGTTCCTGAATTTGTACTACCATGCCAACATCGTCAACGCTTCCCGAGAGGGAATTGCCGCATTGAATCGTGTTCAGCGCTTCAAGTACAGATGGGAAGACGATGGTGGCGCTCCTACGCAGAGCAACATTGCTATTTTGCGTGTGGTTGGAGAATGACTAAGGAGCGAATTGCAAGACACAAGCAGCCGATTGGCAAGAGTCGTCAATTTACAGTCGAGGAAATTCAAGCGGCTAGTCCGTTTGATACAAACGACGTCTCTGTTGACAAGCTCAAAGCCTCCGTTAACCTGGAAGGCGAAGATCCACAAGAGCTCTTGCAGTTCCTCAACGCGACTGCCGATGATGATCTCCCTCAGAAGGAAGGGACGCTGATCGGGAACGTCGACGACATTGTTGATGAGGCCGGCGTAACTGCCAAGCTGACAGTTGGTGAGCCGATCGTCGAGGAGAGCGTTGAGGACACAGTCATGGAGGAAGAGAAGCCCTTCCTTGAGCCAGAGAAGACACCTACAGGCGTAACTGCCTTGTCGCGAGAAGAAGAACAACAAATGATGCAGGTTGAGGCTCAAGTGCTGGATGTTTTGGACGATTTGCAGACAACCAATACAGTGGAGACTGCAAATGTTCCTATTTCAAATTCCATGAAGGATTCAGAATTCAATGTTGCTGTCGACATCGATGACGACGAGGACCCCTATGGTGGTACGTCAGCTCCATCAACGTCGCGCGCACCAATTCCGCGGAGACGCGGAAAGGGGGCAAGGGACACCTGCCCAGGCTCCCGTAACTGACGAGCTGGACGAGAAGCCGGAGCCCAAGTACTCAGGAAAAGGCAAAGGCACTCTCACCAGTGACTTGCGCCCGCCCCGGAGTTCAAGAACATGGACGTTGAGGTCACCGAAGTCCTTGGTCGGTATCCTTACCCGGATCACCTGTTGAAGTCGATTGGCAACGGCAATTTGCAACTTTTGGAAGAGGATTTGGGAAAAGACGCCGTTCAGTACACTTTGCGCCACATTACGGGTCATAGGTAATATTATGCATAATACGAAGATGCTCATGGCGGACCCTGGGAGTTCGAGTATGTTAGGCGTGCAATTTCGGGTATTCTCCGTGGTCATGTCAACGATATTTCCATTTATGACCCGGCGTGCTATTTACCCATTTACAAGGTGCTGGAGATAGCGGCTTCCCGATTTCCGAAGTTTGCAGATAGTTTCACAATGTTTACAATTTCATTTCAATGGCAATTTACGATGACAAGGATCGTTTTGATTTTCAATGCGCGTCGGACTCCACCTTCAGCGAAGCGCTTCAGTTGCATGAAGCCCCTGTGAAGGTGAGGTGTGGCCAGGGTCACACAGACGATGTTTTAGAGACCCGGTCGAATGAGGCCCTTGCAAAATTAGTCTTTTGTCGTCCTGACCATGCTCACCGTTACAGGTTGAATTTGACCGCGCACGCGCACTCACGAGCAAGCGGCTCGGTCGATCATTGCCAATGGTCTTCTACCTGGCGGAGGAGTTGGTGGAAAGAAATCGAAAGGAAATTCATTCTTTTCGATCATACCTCTGGGGAACCAGAAGAGCTTTCAGGTGTCAGGGCCGATCGACCTATTGAGTTGTGCTTTTCCACTGCCGAGGTCATCGTGGCTGGTGTTGACTTGTTTTTGACGAATTCGGGCGCGATCATCGCCAGCCACCATGTGCCCAATACATGCGTATTGTTTGCGACCAAAGCCCGAGTAAATGCGGAGCCCGAAGTCTTCTACTCCAGGCCTGTTGCAATCGACCCGACCAAGATTGAGCCGGGCACCAAGCAAGAGGAGGTCGAGCTCATTATTAAAGAAGAGGCTGCGATTGATGCAAATGAAGAGACGCCGGAAGAGCGCGCAGCCCATAGCAGCGCGGTGAAGAAAGAGGAGATGGAAGCAACAGGTCGTACAGAAGTTGGACCCATTGAAAGTGGTCATTTCCTTCATCTCCGTACATTCAGCTGCAGCGACTACGCTTTCCTTAACCGGAATGGCGTCTTGTTACAGATGCGGTACGGTATTTCAGAGCAGATCTACAGACGGGCCTGTTTCTAAATTTATGAGGCTACAGATGCGAAGTGCCAAGACCCATCAACAGGGGGGCCTACCTACAAACCTCACTTCTGAAAGCGTGCTTAGCAGCGTTGCCGGACAAGGCATGCAGCCAGGCCGACCTCCTCCACGAGGTGACCCTTCAATGGATAGTCAAATGGTGATTACAGCCCGCAGCAGGTTGCGTCGAGCTCTCAAGCAAGGCTATGAGGATGTCTATGACCGCTTCAATCGAGATGATGCTTTTGCTACCTCCTTGACCGGAGAGGGTTTGCGTCACTGCAATTGCCAGCTCCCTCTCGATCTGCCAAACAGCGACCGAAGGGAAAGTCCGTCGTGAGCGAATTGCAGCCTGAAGATCGTGCAGGCCTTGCAAAGTTAGCTTTTATTCGATGTGGAGTTGACCATTTGCATACTTGGCTTTAAAGCAGGTCTCAGCGAGAACTTTTTGATGAGCTATCGCAGGGAATTCATGTCGCTCCGCCAATATGCGGCCGTAATTGGCAATAGCCGTGATGAAGTCAAAATTCAAGGCTTCATTCCGACGGACGACGTATACGGAGATGTTCACAACATCCGTATTCCCCGCGGCGATATTGTTGGTATTTACAATGTTCTACGTAAATTTGCACTTCAGAACGAACAGTATGCAATTGCACAGTATCAACACAACGCTCAACAATCAGTGAATATGCAAGAACGGAGCAGGGGCAAGGCGCTTGATGAGTTCGGCTTCATGAACATCGAGCAGGGGATCGCGACCCCTCTCCCGAAGTTTGCTGCCGACGCTGGCCAGGACATAGGTGTAGGCGAAGTCCACCGGCTTGAGGTACTCCTTTTGGAGTTTGGTCAACGTGATGCACCCTCGCCAGCAGCGCCTGAAACAAGGCAGCCGCTTCAACGCAAACGTGCTTCATCTTCGAGTGTTGGCGCAACGGATGTTGACAAGAGGCCACGTTTTCAGTGGAAGAAGAAGGAGGATCGCGACGACGCTGGATGTTTTGCAACTTGGTCGGACGACAGAGTTCCTCCACCTGCTATTCCAAAACCCGTAACTGGGACGCGTACAGTGTCAGTTTGCAGACCTCCTCCTACTCCTCGAGCACCAGTTCCTCCGAAGGAAAACTTCCCTAAACGGAACGTCGTGCCTGACCCGCCGATTGCACCAAAGGGTCATCCAGCAAGCTTTGTTCCCGGCATGAGCAGAATGCAAGGGCCGCATGGCAGCCTCCCGAGGCAAAGCAGCCACCATTGCCTGAAGTTGAGGGCGATGGACCTACAGATGACGGCTCCCGTAAAAGGGAAGCCTTGTGGTTCGGTTGGTAGGATGTTGATGCCTCCGAAGAGGAGCAATATCCCGAAGGACCTACTTGCTCCTCCAATTCAGCACCAACCCCCACCAATTCAGAACCCTCCCGTTCCGAGGCCACCTTCAACTCCACCACCAAAGGTACCACCAGTGCCAAACCCAGCTGCACCAAAGCTGCCCACTGTGGGCAAGTTCCACCACCACCGGGTCATCCACCAATGCCAGGCTTGTCACCAGCAGCAAGGCCACCTGTGAAAGATCCTCCAGTGAGTTCCACCGTTCCTGCGCAAGCCAAGCCACCCGAGTTCAACCTTGTTCCAAAGCCACCGCCTTTGAGTGAACTTTACAGTCGACTACAACCAGATACTTCCGTAAAAGGAAAGGGGCAAGGCAAGCGCCGGAACAAGTCTCGAGATGGTCCACGTTATCACCATGTGCCGCCTCCACCTTTGCCGCCAAGTTCACCCTCCTCATCGCATACTCCCGTAATTGTGACCGATGCCCAAGAATTTTCCTGCTTCAGATACAAGGCCATTGGAACCGTTTGATTTTCCTGGCGTCGCATGGCAACGAGATGATGAGCGGGGTGAGAATTATTGGCCTAATCATATAGAACTTTGGGCGTGGATGCTGAATTGAATGGTTGGTATGACTACACAGCAAGGTTTGGCTATACGCATGTTGATTGATATGAAGTTTTGGACAGCTACCATAACTGTTAAGCCCTTACAGCCTATGAGTGTTGACCCGCAGTGAGATGATGTTTCACCACAGATTTTCACGTAGGATAGCATCCGTAACTGGATTGCTTTAGGCGGAGAGTGAACTTTTAATCAAAATCTTAGAGCCAGGATCAGCATGTGTAACAACACGCCGAATGAAGGCATGGGTTGTACATTAGGGTAGCCATGTTGTCCTTGTACAGTGCATGCACGAGCTTGATGAGGGATTTCTAATATGATTCCTTCGTCGCTAGGATCTGTTCCTCCCCGAGATTTTCTAGTAAAGCGGGGTGTTGAAATTCACCTCATCCCTATGGACCCCGTAGCGTGTACTTTCACAAGGGACGCTTAACGGCTAGACAGGGTTAGCTAGGTTAGCTAGTGAATCTGAGCTGATCCTGTAAAACACAGTAACAAAGGCGAGTCCGAATCGTATCGGAAGTTTGGCAAGACATACAGTACATCAGAAAGGCCCATTCATGCCACTGCTTTAGGAGAAGCAAGGCGGATGTGTATGATGCTGCTCAGGAGGGGTGGGAGTGGCAGTTCAACTGAAGTGAAGAACTATATATATATACATATATATGTATGTACGTGCTAGCCACTTCTTACTTTCCACTCTGCCACAGGCAAGGCATCATTTGGAACATCATTTGGAAGATCCTACTCTACACAGCGCCACAACCATTCACCATTCTCTGTGTTTGAGACGCATTTCTTTCTTTTTAAAATGGTGCTTCTATGCAGGTAGAAGCAGCAGCTCTTGAGAATCCACTCGCAGTTTTCGGGCGTGGTATGCAGGTGGCCATTTTCTGTTCAATCATGGTGTGATTATTTTGAACATGCTGATAAAACTCACGGTTGTTGTGACATGTTCAGGTTGTTTCCCAGCTTGGGCGATACTATGTCGTGCTAAAGCCACTGGCTCAGATTGATTCAAGTCCATGTCATGCGACAGTATTCACCGATGTGGGCTCGGCGTTGATGCTTACTGCTTACTCATATACAACTTTAGCATACTGTACTTTTGCCACAGCGAAACTCTTCTGAGATTTCAGCAGCCTTTAGTGCAAAGTTGTTTGAGAAGTGAACATTCCAGCAAGTTGCAGGGGCGGTGGTCTTCATCGGCCGTGCCAATGATAACAGTTTCAAGTTGACAAGTCACGCACCACAATGGGTGACTGCCGGTAAAACGCAAGGCAAGCAAACATGCGGCAATTTATATGGTCAACTGGGTCAACTGGTCTGCAAAGATGATGTTTTGTATCCGATCTTTTTGACAATCAAGTAAATAAAGAGTGACGTCCAAATTCACTGAAGATCCAATTGGATGCATGAGTTTTCCAAGGTCTCCAAATCCTCTTGAGAATCAAGGTCAAAATCGCAAAATAGTTTAACGTTTGATTCTTCACACCATGAAAAACGATTTGGTGAAGGCAACGACTCGCAAGATGCAAGATTGAACAACACCCATTTTTTTTTGTCCAGGTCTCGACAGGTCCAGTAGTGTGTTCCAGTACTGCTTGTGGTCACCTCGGATAACTTGCTGCAGTGCTTCTTCGACAAAATGAATGAAAATACTTAAAAGAACTTTAACGTTAGTCCTTTGGCCTCTACGCAGAGTTGTTTGCCGGAAAGTCGTTGGATATCAGTATACGTATCCCAAAGACCATAAGCCGTCTCAGCTTTGTTTCGAATCCACTGATAGTTAAGTGTTCCGAAAAATCTAGAAACCAACGCAGGATAGCTCGCGCTTCTTCAAGAAAGCTTCCCCCGCCACCTTTAGGGCGGTGGGGTGAGCTTCCTTGAAGAAGCGCGAGCTATCCTGCGTCCTAAGTAGTAGCTACCTAGCTACTAGTTACTTAAGCTACTAGCTACGTGAGCAACTGCCAAAACCTCCGGTGAAGGCAGCGTCACTACAGTGAAGACTAAGTAAGTAAAGTGAAGAAAACCTTCAGGAACGATAAGGTTCACCAAAAAACGATAAGGCTTTAGTACATGTTCTTAGGTGCGTCCAAAGCCTCAAAAACGATATATAAGGTTACCAGGTTCACAGAAAAACGATCACGTTGGGAAGAGTGCACACTACAACACATAAGAGGTTTGACACGTTCCTCACGTAGCTACCACTACCTACCTCACTTCCTAGCGGCCTTCCCCCCGGGCTTTAAACAATTGCAAAATTCTCTTAGCACCGGGTAGCACCGGAGACTGATGCCAGGCTGGACGAAGCCTTGGGACGGACAGGCGAAGAGATCGTCAGGGAGAGGCTGGAGAGTGTGGAGACACACGATAGAGAGAGAGGCAGAGCCTGGCAGAGACCGTCATTTTTCAATCAGAGGACATGCGTCATGCTGTACTCGATCCGCCTACAGGTCGAGGGAGCTCCGTCAGCTTCTACTTGATCTGGGTCCATGCTACATCAAGCTTGGCCAGGCCAAGACACGTTGCCTGAGTCATATTGAGTCAACAGTCAGTCTTGACCCTTTCCTCAAACAGTGTGGACTGACCCACAGACCTTTCTCTTTTTAGCCCGTGGGGCCCCTGCCTCCTTACTTAATTAAGTAGAGACTACCTACTTCATTAAGTAAGGGACAAACTTGTTTGCTCCTAGCTACTTAAGCTACTAGTATGGACGCAGACGCAGGATAACTGTTCAAGGAAGCTCCCCGCACCTGAGGGCCGGTGGCTTCCTTGAAGACGCGCTCGCACTAATGATTTGGTTCCCAGATTTTTAGGGAAGCTAGGTACCAATATAGTTGAGGCTGGGTTGATCGAGGGTGCTTGCATCCGTGTATGGCTATTCCGCTGCATTTGGGCGCGAAGACCTGCACAAACACTGGTGGGCTGAAGCGGGTGCTTTCCTCGACTTCTCTTTCGTTGTTGTTCACATTTTCGGACTTGGTTACTTTTCGTCAAAAGCGCAACGAAAAACTCATGGTTTGGGGTGGCACGACTTGCGGACGTCCGTCTGAACGAGCGCCTCCCTTACCAGCCCTTTACCGTATGTTAAGGTGGGTACTGGGGGAGTTGAAAGTGTGTCTGAAGTCAACTTTTTGTGGCAGGTGCAGGCGATCAGAGCGATTGATTGTACCTTGACGTGAAGATTTCGCCGTGCTTTCCGCAACATGAGCACTTCCAAAAGACACATTCGAGATGCCAAAACGAAGCTTTCGCTCCATACTTTTCCCAATCTTGAAAACGAGCCGCATGTCCAAAGTGTGCGTGCTCTCATGTGTGCGCTTTCATATGCGTGCCCTCAAAATATGTGTGTCAAGTGGGGTCTCCTGCTGGGAAATATCTTGCAGGGGTTGTAGGCCTTGGCAAGCTTAAGTAGCTAACAAGCTAGCAGTAAGAGGGCTAAGTAGGCGACCTACTAGTATGTTGGGCTGCAACCATGGGATGCAGAAAGACTCAGGCTTCTTCAAGGGAGGCCCGCCTCGTTGAAGAATGCCTCACATGATTGATTTTGTTCCGAGACTTTGAGTTTCTCGTTGTCCAGTCTTCCCATGTCAAAGGTCAGCAAACGATCAACCGAGGGGAACTCCATTCAGTAGAATGATTCACCCGCAATACATGGACAAATTTCCCGGATAAGACCATGAACATCTACACAGATTTTAGCTTTAACGTCGACATCATCCAATCCTTAAGTAATCCAGCTGAGGGTAGAACAGCCTGCAAGTTGGCACATGCTTATTTGGTCCAGCCCTTGGAGAAATTCTGAGATGCCACCGATACCAGGTTATCAAGGTTAAGTCGCATAGAACACATGAAAACACATGAAGTCCAACAACCTTTATACCATACTGGGAAATACACTCGCCAATGAAACAGCCAAAACTATCAACACAAGGGACACAGCATTTATTTATTCTATTTTTTAAAATGTGCAACACGTAATATGTCCGAACACATAGCCAATCAACACCGAGCTGTAGCTTGCAGATCTCATTTCCCTGCACACCCTTAGGTTTGAAAACGAGGCAGATCCATACCTGTGATATGGACAAAAACCTGGACAGTCAATAGCATATGCTGGAAGTTAACCCATTCCCCTCAGCTGAGTGGGCCTCCTTCTGGGGTCGCAAAGCAGTTTGTCATTGCAAATCCGATCGGTTTCACCATTCCTGCGCGTGGCGCGTGTCTATATAGAGTGACCCAGCGCCATCAGTTTTCAACAAGGCAGCAGGTGCTTGTGTGATGTTTTCTTTTTTTTGGTGGGGAAATGGGAGGGAGACAGCTGGATACAAGATTTGCATGTGTTCCAGGCGCTGGCCAATCGTCCAGACATCATCAGGGATGACTATATGGTGATGCACTCAAATCCAGCATGGACACCTTGAATGACCTGTGCTCACCTGCTGAAGTGCGGTGTGCGACGTTAATTATGCTATTACGCTAGCAAAGTTCAAGCACTTGGCTTGAACATGTATAGATTGATGAGTCAGACTCAATGCCCAAAGGCTGAGCTCGAAGCTTTGCAGGTGCGAGTGGGTGTGCAGTGTGCGCTCTAAATATTGAAGTTTTTGTCCGGGAACAGTTTGAGCACTCCAGAGCCAACTGCGTATGGGAGCTACAAAGCGACAGTTGCACCAACCTCGCAGGACAAGGTACCTCCATTTCCGTCCAGTGAGGCTATGTCGATCATTCAAACAGAGCTGGGCCAGGACGGCTTGAAAGAGAGAGATTTGGAGCAAGCTGATGGACTTATTGGACTTAACATTTCAGTGCACCACAGACTTGGCGTCGCCGAACTAGGACCCGAAGCAGATATTTTCAGAGATCACCGCTGGGCCTGTCGCTGCAGCATCACTAGGGCAGGCAAGCTGCTTGAGGTGAATGCATCCAGATGTCTTGTCCACTCAGTTTGGAAGTCCTCAAAAGGTGTACCGCGGCCGACTCCGCTGCAACGGCGAGGAGGTGGCAGTGAAGGCAAGATGCTACTCTCAATTCAAGAAGCTACTGTAGTACTGCAGCTCCTTGTACAAGCTTAATCAAGCTTAGCCTGGACCTGTTGAAGTAGGTATTTTAGAAAGCCACAGGAGACACGTGTTGAAGCCAATCCGATAATCACCGATTGAATTTGATTGTGGTAACATTTTTATAGAAGCCGCAAGCAGAGGTTCAGCGACCAGGACTCAAGGACCGTCAGAGCTTCTTTCTGAAATGTCTAAGTTCAGAAGAGTGTGAGATTCTGCCAAGTTTCCTCCTGTTCCACCAGGATAGTTTGATTCTGGACATGTTCATTTTCCGAAGGCATCAGAGTGGGTGGGAAATGCAGGCTCTCGGCTTCCAAGGGAAAACCATTGAGAGTAGGGGTGTTGAGACTGAACGCATTGTTGGACAAATTTGACATTGTGGATGACACATACAATCATTCCTGCTACCTTTCTTTGTTGACACTTGCTGGCGACCGCAGGCTTTCCGAGTTGCTTAACAGTTGGGCCCGACGGCAGCTTTACTGAACTTTATGCATTGCCACACATTGTTCTTCTCACAGAAGAACATTTTTTTACAATTTGAAAGCCTCTGTGCTGCTGACTTTCTCGCTATCGCTAGAAGGTTTGCATTTGATTTCATTCCAGATATTCCTCGGCACGAAGCAAGGCATTTGGGTTGTAATGTGACGCTCGTTGTTGATGAGTTTGCCTCGAAGCTGTGGGAGGCGCACAGCTGGACCGTGTCTTTTGGAGTGTTTCTGAATCTCCCTGTGCCTTTGAACACCGTTTGGCCTGTTGTCCGTTGCACCGTTTTGGACTTTCTTGTGTGGATGGGACAATAGTCGACGTGAGCGCCACCGTAGAGTGTCTGAACCTGTGCCTTTGCGCGGAAGTCTTCCACAAACTTTGCACTGCTGAAGCAGCCAGGAAGCCAATTACTACCAGGAGGCCCAAAATGCTCAGAAGTTTGCGGAGAACTTTGGACAAGATCCGACTGTCAAGATTCCCAAAGCTCGGCACCTTGCGATTTGATCATGTTGACCTTTTGCTGCTAGAAGCTAGAAACCTTGCCCGTGAAGAACATCGACTTTCAGGTCTTTATGCAGTATGTCAGCAAAAAGGCAAGGACCTAAGTATACAGCACTGCTTCAGCATTTGGACAAATGAGCAACAAACTATTTCACACAGGCCACATAAGCCCTCGTTTTGACCGACTTGAGACTGCTGACGTAGTATCTCTCAGAAGCTGACCCGCAAGCAAGAGGCTAACTAAGATTTGCTCTCAACATGGCAAGCTTCTCTGAGGTCATCACAATGGAGCGGGGCTCCTCAGTACTTGAGAAGTTTTTTCTTTTTACAAATTTGACAGTGCGCTTAGAACCAGAAACTTGCAAGTTTGTAGTATGCCACATGCCCTCTCACAGGTGGATCGACGGCCTGAAGAGCACCGACCTTTCTGGCCTGAGGCAACATTTGATCAATAGTACGATGCATTCTGTCCCCAATCAAGGACCACTTGCTTCTACTTGTTCTTTTTGTACATGTATGTTGTGTGGAGAGCAAGCTTCACATACAGGCGGCGCGGTATCGATGTCAACGAGTTCATCAGGAATGGAGTTCAGGCGGTATACCTGAACTTTTCAGCAGAACATCAGACCCTCTTTGCACGACTCAAGGCAGTGACTCCTTGGCGGATGTAGACTCTTGACAGCTTCGGGTTGCCACTGCGCCCTTGAAGCCCTTTCTACCTTTTTACCACTCCAAGCACATGGTTTTTGTTCTTCTAGGGGAGGGCAAGGAAGCGGGTCCTTCTTGTAGCCCTAGCTTCAAGAAATGATTGGAGAAGCCTCGCACTTATTGTCGGAGGCTGCCTTGCGGCAACTCCTAGAGTTTGGACTATTTCATGGTGACCCACATGCTGGCAACATATTTGCAATGAATGATGGCAGGACAAGAATCAAACTCAAGCTTGATGTTGAGGTCGCAGGTCTGGTTTTTGTAAGGTTCTTATTTTGGGCCAGTCTCTTTAGCTCAGTGGTGTACAAGGTGATTCATCTATGTCTATGTGAAGAGAGGTTTTTAGACAGATTCCAAAAACTGGTTATAAATTTGACTGTCCAAGCCATTGAGATACATTTCAGGATGGCATACGTTGACTTTGGCAATGTTGCAAACATTTCGGAAAGCCAGCGGGACGTGGGGAGCCAAGAAATGGTAGGGGGTACTATAGTCCAGCTGCGATGATCTGCTCTCTGTGGTTGTCGCTCTTGCAATCTAACTTATTCACATGCTGTAGTGACCGCTGGATACTACTTCACTACACTGCTGATGATGCCAGCATTGAAAAGACTAGCATAATAGTAGTGAGGTCCTAATTGGTGCCATCACCCACGTGTCAAACTCGGACTACAAGGTCGCTTTCTTTTTTGAAGCTATTTTTTTTGCTCTCGATAAGAAGGCAGAGATCAGCTCCTTCCTTCATTGGTTGACAGGAAATTGCCAACGATTTTATTCGTCTGGGCTTCTTGCGTCCGGGCACGGATGTCTCAGAGATCGTGCCTGCCATGGAGACCATTTGGGCTGCAGGGGGCCTTAGCCAAACTGTCAGATGAGCATGTCGGATCAGCTCGCCCTCTCTCAGTGTAGAAGAGCTGCGAGTGGCTCAGGACTCCATGGGTAAGTCGATCAAGGACTTCAATTTTCGCACGGCATCGAGCCTAAAGCCTTGCAGTTGTGAGTCCACCGGCAAACTTTATGTAGACCATCGCTTCTAGGTTGGAGGCCATCGCTTCTAGGTTGGAGGCCATCGCTTCTAGGTTGGAGGCCATCGCTTCTAGGTTGGAGGCCATTGCTTCTAGGTTGGAGGCCATCGCTATTAGGTTGGAGGCCATCGCTAGTAGATTGGAGGGAATGACTTGTGCATCAGGTTTTGGATCGCTTGTGCGTCGGGCTTGAGGTGAGCACAACATCTACAGTGATGGATTTGACACAACGGTTAGGTGCCAGCATGTTCTACCACTACATATAGGGCTTAACCTGGCCATGGGCCAATCATTCCATTATCCCACCCCACCCACCCTCCCACCCCCCCACCCCCACCCCCTCACACACTTATTGACATGCGTACTGACTTGAAATCGGTTATGAAATACCAGGAGGACAATTAGTAAGTTAAAGGCCATGGCTTTTAGGTTGGAGGTCATCGCAAGGAAGTTGGAGGCCAACCCCTAAGGTTGGAGGCCGTCGCTAGTAGGTGGTAGGCAGTATGCACAAGCAAAACAAAAGTGACAAGTAGTAAGTTAAGGGCCATCGCTTTTTGGTTGGAGGCCATCGCAAGGAGGTTGGGGCCAACACCTAAGGTTGGAGGCCGTCGCTAGTAGGTGGTAGGTAGTAGGCACAAGCAAAACAAAAGTGACAAGTAGTAAGTTAAATGCCATTGCTTTTTTGGTTGGAGGCCATTGCAAGGAAGTTGGGGCCAACACCTAAGGTTGGAGGCCGTCGATGCACAAGCAAAACAAGAGTAACAGCGAGCAGCAAGGTTGGAGGTCGTCGCTAGTGGGTGGAGGCCAAAGAATTCAGGTTGAAGGACCACATTACAAGTTTGGAGGCCTACCTGCAAACCTATAGGGTAGAAGAGAGGAAAATCAGAAAGAAAGGCACCGACACACAAGTGTGTCGAGTACCATTTCCTTCTGTTTTCCTCAATAGTGGAGTAGGTACGTGGAAATGGCGTCCCATTTCCATATCCTCAGATACATCGCCAGCTTCATTGACCAGGCGACGATGTATCTGGCGTGGTCCCCTGCTGTAAAGGGTAACACTCCAAAAAGAGCCTTGTGATTCAAAGGTTACACACCCCCCCCCCCCGAAGGAGGTATGCGTGGCCTCCATCCTGCCCGGAAAGGAGGCACCCCCATCCTGCCCGGAAAGGGGGTTATGCGAAACACATGTGCGCGCAAAAGAGACAGATGAACATGAGAAAGACCAGACAGACAAAAAGTGTGTGTGGTTGCCGATGAAGAAAAACCAAGTGAAGAGGGACAACCGATGAGCCGAACCTCATTGTAACAAACCTGGGCCACCTGAACCTCGTTGTAAGTAGAATACGCGTGCGTGTATGTGTACAAGCTAAGGTCCGGATGAAAGTGCGTGCAAGGGAAGGAAAAGATGAGGATGAAGAGACATGAAGACAGAAAGAAGAAAACAGGCAAAAATAGACTTAAGCAATATAACTTTGATTTAACGTAGTTAAATAACTTTCTATATATAAAACATATAAATATGGAAGCATTGGAAATCACAGATGTTCTTAACGAAAACGTCTTACGATACAGACTGAAGGGTGGAACAAGTTATATCAGAGACAAACGCATCAAGACATTCTACCCTTCTTCGGTTTCAACCTATTCATCCAACTCTAACTCGGTCATCCGTTTCAATCTAACAGGAGGAGCGAACGAATGGATTAATTTGAGAAGTCTTTTGATAGGCTTTACACTGCTGAACGCCGACAACAACGGAACAAAACGGTTGAGACCCGCCTACATGCCAGCAAATTTTTTCCAATGAATGCGGGTGATGGCTGGTTCAAATGTCATTGCTGAAATTCCTGACCTGAATAGATACGAAGCAATGATTGATATTTTACAAGACGACGGTTCAAGAAACTATACCGACAATTTAGGCTTTGGAGAGACCTTCTACAATGAAGGCAACCGCTTCCTTCAATCCACAACAAACCCTGGTGCAAACACTTGGCATCAAACCAGAGAACACGTTGATACGCAGAACTTCAGAGGCTTTAAGAACAAAAAGACCGTTCATTACCGTCCTTCCTGTCCCTTCTTCAACGTCTCAAACTTTATTCCGTTGTCATAACTTTGGTGTTGGATGCCACCGAAGCGTTAGTTGGTGTAGGAGGCGACTTCACCACTACGAACACATCATTAACGCGGAACATTGAAGCGCCCATCATCACCGCTGACGTTCATAGACTTGATGACGGTTTGTTCGCCGAGTACGCGGAAATCTTGGAAGAACAATCCTTGCCAATCACCTTTAACAGTGTATCAGTCCAAACTCAAACCACGAGCAGAAGCACCGACATCTTCACCACCATCGTTCGCAATGTCTCAAAGGCAGTCAGACAACATCTTCATCTCCTTCTATTCTAACTTCGGTTATCAAGGTGGCTTTCCGGAAGTTCTCAAGGCACACAACCTTCTCTACCATCCTTTGGCGTGGGAAAGCGAGACGCACAACAGACAAGACTATTACGACGACTTGGACATATCCTTTCAACTATCCATCGGAAACACCGTCATTCCAGAGATGCCTACGAAGGGAGTGTGCGACAACTACAAGCACCTACAAGAAACTAGAAACAACCACGTCTCAATCAAACCACAGATGTATAGGACTAACTCGTTCTTGGCGGGGTTCAACCTAATGAAGTTAAACAGCGCCAACTATACAGGACTAAATTTGAAGAACAATTCAATTATGGTCGTCCGTGTAAAGCCACTGTATGGAACGAAACTCTACACAGAAAACAACGGGACTGATACGGCACTGATGCCTGATAAAATGTATATCGTCATTGAACACGAATGTATTTTAGACATCAAGGCTCAATCGGTAATATTTTACGATTAAGGAACGATAATATTATTATCTAAAAAATATTATCATTTCTTTCTCACATTAAACATATAGATGGCAAATTATTACAACATAAACCGAAGCATTGAAGCGTACGAGATTAGGATGATTGACCCCGACGACGGGCAACTGAAGAAACTGACCGACATACCTTCTTTAGGTGGTGGAGGCGGTGGAGGTGACGGATTTTGGATACATGGACGCACAATCAAACACGATGCTTTCAGCCAAAGCGGACACTTCCTACGTCAATACCAACTTCTACACTCAAACGGCAACAGATGGAGTACTCGCCAACAAAGCGGACACAACATACGTCAATAACAATTTCTACACAGAAACCGAAACGAATGCGTTGCTCAACAACAAAGCGGATTGAACAAACGGTGCTCAATCCATTACGGCAAGTCAAATAACGACGGCGTTGGACATCACCACAGACATACAGTGTCAAAGCATAAAGCCCAGATTGGTTAATCAGAGTTTGGTGGTTAAAAACTTTGCGAACAACAGCGTCCTTACCTACGACCATGCGAACGACAAGTTGGTTGTAGGAAAGGCTTTGGACAGCGCAGGAGTAATAAAAAACAACATCTTTGACAGTTATGACAACCTCAATGACATAGTCTTCAAACATAACGGAACGGACATACTCACCTATAATAAACAATCTATGGACAACTTCATCTTCAATAGAAACCTCATCACAAATTCACTGCTGACGATGCCATTGAACAGTAAGTTAGAGTTTCAACACACGAACTCATACATCAGAGAGACGCTGGATAGTGGCAACTTCATCAATTATGTCCTTTTACCATCAACGGGCATAACCACACAAGAACACAGGTTTTGTGTCAATGGTGAGACTACAAACGCGTTGGTGATGACCAATGATGAGAACGGAGTGAATTTCTTGAAAGCGACGACGGGTTTAAACACTGGCGTTCCCTCTTCCATCAATGTTAATAACCTTGACACCACAGGCGACGTTGATATGGTCTTTGAAAGAAACAACGTTGAATTCTTTAGATTGGATAGTGTGAATAGCATTCTGAACGTCGCAATTGCCATAGGAGTATCCACTTCAAACTTGTATGCTAACTTGAGAGAGGAGGGGGTGAACGAAAGGTAGCAGGGAATCAGGCGTAACCTGGAGGAGGTCAGGGCCCCCCCCTGTTGAACAGAAGCCCTTGCTAGAGGATCAAAGTTAAGGCAAAGACTTGGGAGGGACCTGGCTGCAGGTCAGACGGTGTGACAGTCGGGGACGACTTGGGGTTGCCCCGGAGGAGGTGTAGGTGTAGATGGGTTGTGTGGTGGTGCCGAATGGGAGGGCATGAAGCTGGTGTAGCAGGGACTGGATGGTGACAAGGCCAGGTCATAGGGGGTTGTGGCGTGTGGGTGGTCATCATAGTGGGTGCCCAAGCTGGTACAAGACATACTTCCGGTGGAATCATCGAGGATGTAGGTTGGGATGCAAACGTAGGTGGAATTATCGAAGGAGCTACCGGTGGGAAAGACTGTTTTTGAATTGGATAGGGGTGGGATGTCAAGTATGGCTGTGGCATCGTCGGTGCAAAATGTGGTTGAGGCGGTAGAGCATGATACTGAGCAGGCGGGGCCGGACCATAGGATGCCGTAGGGGCCGTCAAGGATGGAGGCGGAGAAGTCCACGGGTAGTTCATGGCATCCCACAGGTAGTCACACCGAAAAGAGAGACATGAGAACTGCGCAACAAAAAGTGAGAAACTGTGAACCCCGCCTATGATTACTTAGCAGCGTGATGCACGCATGTGAATACCTAGCAGAATGTGAAGAGCCTTGCTGGAGTTTTGATCTCAGTAAGCCCTGCGGCGTGAAATCAGCAATCTCGTGCAAAAACGTAAGCTAGTGGGAGTCAGGATGATGGTCACAAGCAGGGCCGGAGGAGGAGTCAGTGTGATTCCCCCCAGGATCTGGGTCTATGCATATGCTGCGCCCCTCGATGGGGATCACGCCACAGCCCTCAGTGGGACTCTGTGGCGACACACACTTAGATGGATGCTCG